CCTATTTTCAGCCGCCGGGCTCGGAGTGTGTGTGCGTGCGCGTGCTCGTGTATTCCACCGTCAGGCTCGAAGAGGCCATGCAGCCATTTTACAGAAATTCACTTCCACAGTAATTTGTGTTGCTCTGGGTAATTACGAGAGATAGAGAGAGAGAGAGATAGATGTTTTTATTTCATGAAACCAAAAAGGAAAAATGTGTAGGCCTTGTAATTTTCTGTGTGTTTAATATGTGCAGCTTTGTTGTCTAATGGTAGCAGACTAGCAGCTCTAAACTGCCTGGAACAAGTGAATATGGGCCCTGGTCAATTATAGTACACTATAAAGGGAATAATGTGCCATTTGGGACAACATATAATAATGAACAGAGTCAGGGCCACAGAATCATAAATGCAGAGTTATCAACACAGTTATATTTGTTGAGTACAGGGAGAGTGGTGATGAATATGTGAATCAGATCAGACAGGTGAAAGCAGAAGCTTAGAGGTCCGGCTGCTGTCCAGCTGCTGTCAGGCTGCTGTCAGGCTGCTGTCCGGCTGCTGTCAGGCTGCTGTCCAGCTGCTGTCAGGCTGCTGTCAGGCTGCTGTCCTGCTGCTGTCCGGCTGCTGTCCGGCTGCTGTCCTGCTGCTGTCAGGCTGCTGTCAGGCTGCTGTCAGGCTGCTGTCAGGCTGCTGTCCTGCTGCTGTCAGGCTGCTGTCCGGCTGCTGTCCTGCTGCTGTCCGGCTGCTGTCAGGCTGCTGTCCGGCTGCTGTCCTGCTGCTGTCCTGCTGCTGTCAGGCTGCTGTCCTGCTGCTGTCAGGCTGCTGTCAGGCTGCTGTCCTGCTGCTGTCCTGCTGCTGTCAGGCTGCTGTCAGGCTGCTGTCCGGCTGCTGCCCGGCCGGTGTGTGACTGGTCTCACAGGGGAAATGTGTTTTGTTGTTCTTCAGTGACCTGATGGCGGCTCAGACCTCAGAAAAGGTGGGTGGGAGATCAAGGCTCTGTAGGGTTGGGAGCTCCTCCAGGACTGACTAGTCAACTGGGTTCGGCTGGTTTAAGAGGGCTTCAAAGTGTTCACCCCACCTCTGGACTATCTTAGTTTGGTCGTTTAAGGGAGTGGACCAATCTGCACTTCTGAGGGGACAGAGAGAGCAACTTGCTGGGCCATGGGTTGTCTTCAGGGCATCATAACAACATGTCATATCTCGCGTAATGAGGACATCCCTGATATCAGAGCGCCTGATGACAGAGGTTTTGAATTTGTTTTTCATTTGGAACATGGTGTTGGTGATGGTGAGTTCATGTTCAGCACAAAGGCTTAGTAATCTCAATCCATTTGCATTGGCATGACCAACGCTGTCCTAAGACTCCACTCCATATCTCACAGTATCTCCCCACTCTTGCGTTGAAGTCACTCAATAACAAGATTTTGTCATTTTGGGGTACTCTGTGGAGGGCCTCGTCCAGCATCTCGTAAAAGCGGTCTTTTGCATATTTTTTCTGATGGTATAGTTGGTGCATAAGCACTGAAGAGTGGCATGCTGCTTTTCAACAAGGGGAATGCGGAGTGACATTAGTCTTTCGCTAATGCCAGTTGGTGTTTCTGTGAGATTTGGCAGTTCTTCACGGCAATGCCCACACCATGCAGATGTTGCCCTTCTGGGGGGTATCCCTTCCAGAAGGTGTAGCCCTCCCTTTCCTCCCTGAGCGACCCTTCACCCAGGAGTCTGGTCTCACTGAGAACAGCAATGTCGATGTTATATCACTTCAGCTCTGCTGCGATGAGTGCAGTCCTTCATTTGGGCCTTTCGGTGCCATGGCTTGAGTCCAAGAGAGTCCTTATGCTACATGTTGATACCGCTGAAACGGGATGTCCTGATATGTGCGGTAGCCTATCTAGGAGAGTTAAAGCGGGCAATGTTTAGGACACCTTTTCTAGGCCTTTCCCCAACTGGGATGAGCAGTGTGGTTCCTGAAACGGCCTGCTCAGATGTACAGCGGTCTGTCGGGAGCAGCTGCCACTCAAATCCCAGCTGCTGATGACCAATAGCCCTGTGCTGTTACCGTGCAGGGGCCTGGCTAGGAGCTTCCTCATCATTCAGTCCTGCCCCCATTACCAAGCACCCTGTCGCCAGTAGACTTTCTTGGTGCAGGAAATCTAGGTGGAACTCGCTGAAGAGCAGTAGTGGATACCTGCGCACTGAAATTATTTAGAGGGACATGGGGGATGTGCTTGTCCCAACATCACTTCTTCGCTGTTGGAATGGGCTCCGGTGACAAGGAAAAAAATCCAAGACACCCAACACCTCCCCACAGCTACAGGAGGCTGCCGGAGCTCCAGTCTGTCAAAGGACCACCTGTTGCACGTCGCCAGGACGTGTCCACATAACGTGGGCCTGTGCACCGCACCTCTGGGGACCACTACAGCTCCGAGATCCCCTGCCGAGTGAGCCTGGGGCCACGGGGACGCCCAGTTAACGTGTCACGAGAAGAGGCTGTGTACTGGCAAGGGAAGGGTTATACACAGAGCTGCTTCCTGGTTTACCACAAGGGCTAGCCAGCGGCAGCAAGCTGTAAGCATATATACATTACCGTTCAAAAGTTTGGGGTCACTTAGAAATGTCCTTGTTTTCGAAAGAAAAGCATTTTTTTTGTCTATTAAAATAACATCAAATTGATCAGAAATACAGTGTAGACATTGTTAATGTTGTAAATGGCTATTGTAGCTGGAAACGGCTGATTTTTTTATGGAATATCTACATAGGTGTACAGAGGCCCATTATCAGCAACCATCAGTCTTGTGTTCCAATGGCACATTGTGTTTGTTAATCCAAGTTTATCATTTTAAAAGGCTAATTGATCAAACCCTTTTGCAATTATGTTAGCAAAGGTGAAAACTGTTGTGCTGATTAAAGAAACAATAAAACTGGCCTTCTTGAGACTAGTTGAGTATCTGGAGCATCAGCAATTGTGGGTTCGATTACAGGCTCAAAATGGCCAGAAACAACGAACTTCCTTCTGAAACTCATCAGTCTATTCTTGTTCGGAGAAATGAAGGCTATTCCATGCGAGAAATTGCCAAGAAACTGAAGATCTCGTACAACACTGTGTACTACTCCCTTCACAGAACAGCGCAAACTGGCTCTAACCAGAATAGAAAGAGGAGTGGGAGGCCCCGGTGCACAACTGAGCAAGAGGACAAATACATTAGAGTGTCTAGTTTGAGAAACAGATGCCTAACAGTTCCTCAACTGGTAGATTCATTAAATAGTACCCGCAAAACACCAGTCTCAACGTCAACAGTGAAGAGGCGACTCTGGGATGCTGACCTTCTAGGCAGAGTTGCAAACAAGTCCAGTGTCTGTGTTCTTTTGCCCATCTTAATCTTTTATTTTTATTGGCGAGTCTGAGATATAGCTGTTTCTTTGCAACTCTGCCTAGAAGGTCAGCATCCCAGAGTCGCCTCTTCACTGTTGACGTTGAGACTGGTGGGGCAAGACCATCAAGGCTTGCATCTACATACTGCTTAAAGCTATCCAGACTGAATAAATTATGTTTGTGAATGATGTGACAATGGTGGTAACTGTTTAAAAAAAAATCTAAACTCTTAAGTGTTTGTTTGTAGAGTGATTCAATTGGTTTCAGAATAGTAGCTCCTGCTTGTGACCAGCATGTGAGGCAATATCTCAGACGTGAGAAGATCACAGCATGCATGTATAGTTTGGTGGCCTCCAGAGGAAGGTAAGGTCTTATAAACCTAAAGTTGGATAATCCAAACTTGACCGTGTTTACCACCTTCTTCACAACTTGGAGTCCAAAATGACGCCGAGATACCTGAAGTTAGACACAACTTTCATTAACAAGAACAGCTCGTTGGGAAGAATCAATGAATTTTTTAGAGAAGTACATACAAACAGTCTTGTAGATATTTAAATTCAAACAAGAATCAGTCATCCATTTTAGAAATGTGTACCTTAGCTTCAGTTAACTTGTTAACTTGTTGTCTGTTTTTTGAGTGGACATGCAGGACTGTATCGTCTGCATACATCTGCATGTTAACTTGTGGGCAAACAGGTGGGAGATCATTTATATAGATGGTAAACAGAAGGGGGCCTAATATTGACCCTGTCACGCCCTGGCTCTGGGGACTCTAGTATGTTGAGCCAGGGTGTGAGTTTTCATTTGTTTTTCGTTTCTAGTTGTTGTATTTCTATGTTGGCCAGAATGGTTCTCAATCAGAGGCAACGAGTGTCAGCTGTTGCTGGTTGTCTCTGATTGGGAACCATATTTAGACAGCCTGTTTTCCCACAGTGGTTGTGGGATCTTGTTCCTGTGTGGTTTGTGTTAGACCGAGGACGTCACGTTATCGTTTTTGTTCGTGTTATCATCATCATCATTATTTAATAAATATGTTCACTTTTCACGCTGCGCCTTGGTCCTCTGTACCCGACGATCGTGACAGACCCTTGTGGGACCACAATGTTATAGTAAAGAGAGTCCGACTGAGTGTCCCCCAAACGAACCCTTTGGCTTCTGTTTGTCAGATAGGAATACATCCAACTATTGGCTTCAATGGACACATTAAGGATAGTTTGGATAGGAGGACCTCATGATTTACAGTATCAAAGGCCTTTTTAAGATCGAAAAAGACGGCGCTGACTTCACCACCTATATCCAGTTTAGATTTAATGCACTCCAGAAAATAGCAGAATGGTCACCCTGATTGAGGTGATCAGTCAGATGATCAGCCACCCATCTTTCAGCTACTTTCAATAAGACTGGAAGAATGCTTATAGGTCGGGAGGGTTGAAGTAGGCATGCTGCTTCCCTCAAACCACTGCAGAACTGCACCAGACGCATCACAACACCCTGGGTGGTACACACACACACACACACACACACACACACACACACACACATGCGAGTGCACTGCTGCTCTCATTGCTATCTGATTAAACGCAGCTCTCTTCAGTCAGGAGCCAAAATCACGGAGTCTTAGACTGTTTTCTGGTCTCCTATCTTTCCAGGTTTTTCCTCAAGTTCTTCCTGAAATGCAACCAGAACTGTCTGAAGAACGCAGGGAACCCACGAGACATGAGACGCTTTCAGGTGGGAGAGAGAGAACCGTAAAACCACATTTGACATAATTTCATTAGACACAACAGTAATGCTGTTTGATGGAAGCTTTCAGGTCCTGTCTCACATGTCCTTGTCTGTCCCCCTGCCCCCTTTTCCTCTGTCTTCTGTGTCTCTTGTCCCTGTCTGTCCCAGGTGGTGGTGTCTACCACGGTGAGTGTGGACGGTCATGTCCTCACTGTCTCTGACAACATATTTGTCCACAACAACTCTAAACACGGTCGCCGGGCCAGGAGACTAGACCCCTCAGAAGGAACACCCTCGTACCTGGAGCATGGTAAACACACACACTTTCTTTCTCATCTCTGGTACAGTTTATTAACCGCTAAGGATGATGACTGCATTACTGTAACGAATTACTCTCTCTCTTTTCTCTCTCTCTTTTCTCTCTCTCTCTCTCTCTCTCTCTCTCTCTCTCTCTCTCTCTGTCTCTGTCTCTCTCTCTCTCTCTCTCACTCACTCACTCACACTCTCTCTCTCTCTCTCTCTCTCTCTCTCTCTCTCTCTCTCTCTCTCTCGTCATTAACAGTCTCTCTTTCTTTAATTAGAACAGCTTCTCTCTCTCTCTCTCTCTCTCTCTCTCTCTCTCTCTCTCTCTCTCTCTCTCTCTCTCTCTCTCCCTCTCTCTCACCCCCTCTCCTCTCCCTCCTTTTTCCCTCTGAGATTCTTAACTCTCAGTGAGAGAACAGAGAGAGGAGGAGAGGATGAGAGCAGCAGTGAATCCTGTATTCCCCCAGTGGCCGGCTCTTGTTAGAACTGCCATAGTGTTTTATGAGGACCATGTGTCGTAGCAGGACTATGGTGCTTATGAGGCCCCAGGAAGCTTAAAGACAACGCTGAGCTTATTTCCTATGAGACCTGGCTGGGTTTATCCTCCAGCCTCTATCGCTCTCTCTCTCTGCCTCTCTCCCTCTCTCTCCCCCCAAAGCTTTTCCCAGGTTAACACACACAAGCACACTCGCTCGCACACACAGACACACACACACACAGACCCAGACCCCTAATACTTTGTAATGATTTAGAGCCTGCTCAGATTCCTCCAACTCAAAGTAATCCAGTTAGATTCTCATTAACTTTTCCCTGACGGTAAATAACAGGAACATATTTTTCCTGTGTGGAACGGCCTCAACCCCAGGGACCATCATGATCAAACTACGAGTGGATTTGGGTGATAGCGCACACTAGATTACATTAAGATTCAGCGTTAAGGTTTAAGTCGCTGTGATGACTATTTTGTGTCCCAAATGTCCCAAATGGCATCCTGTTCCCTATATAGTGTAGTATTTTTGACCAGGGCCCATATGGAGAAGGAGGGAGGAGGAAAGAAGGAATAGAGCAGGGGGAGAACAGAAAATTACAGGGAAGAGAGTGGGGAGCGTGGGGGAGGATAGGTGTGAGAGTAGAGATGGAGGATAGAAGGGGGACAGAGAGAAGAAAGATGCATGGAGGGGAGAGGAGAGGAGAGGAGAGGAGAGGAGAGGAGAGGAGAGGAGAGGAGAGGAGAGGAGAGGAGAGGAGAGGAGAGGAGAGGAGAGGAGAGGAGAGGAGAGGAGAGGAGAGGAGGACCTCTAAGGGTTTTGTGAAGTATCAGGGTCTGTTTGAGGCAGTACTAGGAAATCAGCGCACAATGATATGTATTGAGGTATCAGGGCTTGTGACAGGCAGTACTAGATGAGCAATGAGCAACGAACACAACAGATGGCAGAGAGGAAGACCCCAAATGTGAATCATGGATTCATGTTTCACCATCTGGTTGACACACACACCATCAGTGTCTATGAAAAGACTTGCAGGATGAAGAGGAGGTGAGATGAAGAGGGAGAGAGTTAGAGGAGGGAGGGGAGAGAGAGGAGGGAGGGGAGAGAGAAGAGGGAGGGGAGAGAGAGGAGGGTGAAGAGAGAGAGGAGAGGGAAGGATGAGGGAGAGAGAGGAGGGTGAAGAAAGAGAGGAGAGAGAGGCAGGAGAGAGACGGGGAAAGAGCAGAAGTCATTTTGTAGTAAAGTGGATTACCCTGCTTTGGAGAATGACATCATGTCTGACAAGCTGAGGATCTGTAAAGTAGAGGAGATTAAGCCTTTATTTATTATTTATTTGTAATTCCACTGCTGTTCTTTTCTCCAATCTGATCCAGTAATCTAAAGCCTGTAAGGTCCAGGGGCCAGTATTACGCCTCACAGCAGGCCTAGTTATGAATTGGAGAATTTAGTTTTTCTCTTCATAGAATCAATCAGAATGGAGAAATTGTAGTGTAGGAGTTAAAGCTACATTTCTGATGTCTCTCTCTCTCCCCTCCCCCCATCCCCCCTCCCTCCACAGCCACCCCCTGTATTAAGGCGATCAGCCCCAGTGAGGGCTGGACTACAGGTGGGGCCACAGTCATTATCATAGGAGAAAACTTATTTGATGGACTCCAGGTCATATTTGGTACCATGCTGGTCTGGAGCGAGGTCAGTAACACATTAATCAGTGTGTATCTGTGTGTGTGTGTTTGTGTGTGTGTGTCTGTGTGTGTGTGACTGTGTGTGTGTGTGTGTGTGTGTGTGTGTGTGTGTGTGTGTGTGTGTGTGTGTGTGTGTGTGTGTGTGTGTGTGTGTGTGTGTGTGTGTGTGTGTGTGTCTGTGTCTGTGTGTAACCAACAGATATATATTTTTGAAATCAGTGAGTCCATGGGGCTCAAGACTGTGTTAGCCCTCTGAGCTAAAAAAAATGGTTCATTTACAAACCACATACTGCCTTCCATGTCAACTGAACATTTTATATGGCTCTTAATAAGTCTATGTCTTTCACTTTGATACAGTGAATTTGGAAAGTATTCAGACACCTTCCCTTTTTCCACATTTTGTTACGTTACAGCGTTATTCTAAAATGGATTAAATAATGAATTTTCCTCATCAATCTACACACAATACCCCATAATAAAACATGTTTTTCATAATTTGTGAAAATTTATAAAAAATGTAAAACAGAAATACCTTATTTACATAAGTATTCAGACCCTTTGCTATGAGACTCGAAATTGAGCTCAGGTGCATCCTGTTTCCATGTATCATCCTTGAGATGTTTCTACAACTTGATTGGAGTCCACCTGTGGTAAATTAAATTGATTGGACATGATTTAGAAAGGCACACACCTGTCTATATAAGGTCCCACAGTTGACAGTGCATGTTAGAGCAAAAACCAAGCCATGAGTTCGAAGGAACTGTCTTTAGAGCTCCGAGACAGGATTGTGTCGAGGCACAGATCTGTGGAAGTGTACCAAAAAATATCTGTAGCATTGAAGATCCCCAAGAACACAGTGGCCTCCATTATTCTTAAATGGAAGAAGTTTGGAAACACCAAGACTCTTCCTAGAGCTGGCCGCCCGGCCAAACTGAGCAATCAGGGGAGAAGGGCCTTGGTCAGGGAGGTGAACAAGAACCCGATGGTCACTCTGACAGAGCTCCAGAGTTCCTCTGTGGAGATAGGAGAACCTTCCAGAAGGACAACCATTGTTGTAGAAAATTGTCGTTGTCCTCAGTCAAACACAAAGTATTTTCAGAGTTTTTGTAGAATTAAGATAGACTTTATTACAATCAATATAGCCGAGGGGGTCTGCAGAGCATCTCGGCTATATTGATTGTAATAAAGTCCATCTTAATTCTACAAAAACTCTGAAAGTACTTTGTTTGTTTGATAATTCTCTACAACACAATCTCTGCAGCACTCCACCAATCAGGCCTTTATGGTAGAGTGGCCAGATGGAAGCCACTCCTCAGTAAAAGGTACATGACAGCCTGCTTGGAGTTTGCCAAAAGGCACCTAAAGGACTCTCAGACCATGAGAAACAGGATTCTCTGGTCTGATGAAACCAAGATTGAACTCTTAGGCCTGAATGTTTTTTTGTTTTGTTTTTCTAACCTTTATTTAATTAAGTAAATCAGTTAAGAACAAATTCTTATTTACAATGACGGCCTACGCCGGCCAAACCCGGACGACGCTGGGCCAATTGTGCACCGCCCTATGGGACTCCCAATCACATCCGGTTGTGATACAGCCTGGAATTGAACCAGGGGGTCTGTAGTGACGATTTAAGCACTGAGATGCAGTGCCTTAGACCACTGCGCCACTCGGGAGCCAGACCAGCATTGAATGCCAATCGTCATGTCTGTAGGAAACCTGGCACCATCCCTACAGTGAAGCATGGTGGTGGCAGCACCATGCTGTGGGGATGTTTTTCAGCGGCAGGGACTGGGAGACTAGACAGGGTTGAGGGAAAGATGAACGGAGTAAAGTACAGAGAGATCCTTGATGAAAACCTGCTCCAGAGTGCTCAGGACCTCAGACTGGGGCGAAGGTTCACCTTCCAACAGGACAATGACCCTAAGCACACAGCCAAGACAAGGCAGGAGTGGCTTCGGGACAAGTCTCTGAATGTCTTTGAGTGGCCCAGCCAGAGCCCGGACTTGAACCCGTTCTAACATCTCTGGAGAGACCTGAAAATAGCTGTGCAGCGACGCTCCCCATCCAACCTGACAGAACTTGAGAGGATCTGCAGAGAAGAATGGGAGAAACTCCCCAAATACAGCTGTGCCAAGCTTGTAGTGTCATACCCAAGAAGACTAGGCTGAAATCGCTGCCAAAGGTGCTTCAACAATGTACTGAGTAAAGGGTCTAAATACTTATGTAAATGTGTTATATCAGTATTTATTTTATTATTTTTAGCAAAAATGTCTGAAAACCTGTTTTTGCTTTGTCATTATGGGGTATTGTGTGTAGATTGATGAGGGGGAAAAAACTATTTAATACATTTTAGAATAAGGCTGTAACGTAACAAAATGTGGAAAAAGTAAAGGGGTCTGAATCCTTTCCGAGTGCACTGTATAGAGGGGTCTGTAATGACAAGTGAAGTAGATATGTAATAATATAACCTTTTTTGTCCCCTGTCCCCCTCCATAGCTGATCACAGCCCACGCCATCCGGGTGCAGACTCCCCCCAGACACATCCCCGGGGTCGTAGAGGTCACGCTGTCATACAAGTCTAAACAGTTCTGCAAGGGCACACCTGGACGCTTCATATACACAGGTAAATACACCTTCATTTAAAACACGTGGACACTTCATATACACAGGTAAATACACCTTCATTGAACATGCCTGGACACTTCATATACACAAGGGAGGAGAGGAGAGGAGAGGAGAGGAGAGGAGAGGAGAGGAGAGGAGAGGAGAGGAGAGGAGAGGAGAGGAGAGGAGAGGAGGAGGAGAGGAGAGAGGAGCGGAGAGGAGAGGAGAGGAGAGGAGAGGAGAGGAGAGGAGAGGAGATGGGAGATGGGAGATGGGAGAAGGGTAGAAAGGACTATGGGATTACCATGGTCGGCCATCTTGGCCTTCTGCTTGGTGGTTGGCTCCAGTCTGTGTCCAGTTGCCAGTGGTAATCATAGAGGACTGACATGGTGTGGCCTGGCAGCCGGCAAGGGAATGGCACATAGACACACACACACACACACACAACATACACAGATTCACACACACATACACACTCACACACACACTGGGGACAGCTGGTATCGCTAATCAACTTGTGTTGGGGAGAGGAAACCACATGCTGCCTGCTCACAGACCTAATTAATTCAACACACACCCTGCTGCCACTACTGGAATATACACACATGCACACGCACACGCACGCACACGCACGCACGCACACACACACACACACACACGCACGCACACGCAACACACACACACACACACACAGGACAGGTAAGTGGTTAGAGAAAAGGAAACTGTGCTTATTTACACATCCCTATTCACGTGTAAAGCTGTTTTTATGGCATATTCTGGACAGCCTGCTTTTCTCTCCTTCCTTCCCTCCCTCTTCTCTCTCTCTCTCTCTCTCTCTCTCTCTCTCTCTCTCTCTCTCTCTCTCTCTCTCTCTCTCTCTCTCTTTTCTACAAATCCATTTCAGTGTATCACCATTCATCAAAGAGGCTACAAGCCCTTCCTCCTGTCTGTTAGGGGCTGTAAAAGCTGTGAGGTGCTGGCTGTAGATTGGGTTTGTTTCCCAAATGGCACCCTATTCCCTACATAGTGCACCACTTTTGACCAAAGCCCTATGGGTCCTGATTAAAAGTAGTCCTCTATGTAGGTAAAAGGATGCCATTTGGGACGCATATTTGAGGTGCATGATGATGAACATCTCCTCTCGTTCAGAAGTCAATGCTTTCCTCTTCAGAATGTAGCCGCCACCGCTTAGCAACCTCTTAGAAACCGCGTATCACTACTGATATTAAAAGACCCTGCTACTGGAGCACATAAGAATAAAATAAAATGTTATTAGTCGCATGCACATATTTTGTAGATATTATCGCAGGTGTATCAAAATACTTATGTTTCTAGCTCCAACAGTGATACTTAACAATACAAAACAGTACACACAAATCCCAAAAAAATAAAAATAAAGAAATTACGAAATATCAGAACGAGCAATGTCAGAGTCCGGAATAAATATATACAGTGCCTTGCAAAAGTATTGTCTGGCGCAAACCCAACACCTCTCATCACCCCGAGAACACCATCCCCACAGTGAAGAATGGTGGTGGCAGCATCATGCTGTGGGGATGTTTTTCATCAGCAGGGACTGGGAAACTGGTCAGAATTGAAGGAATGATGGATGGTGCTAAATACAGGGAAATTCTTGAGGGAAACCTGTTTCAGTCTTCCAGAGATTTGAGACTGGGACGGAGGTTCACCTTCCAGCAGGACAATGACCCTAAGCATACTGCTAAAGCAACACTCGAGTGGTTTAAGGGAAACCATTTAAATGTCTTGGAATGGCCTAGTCAAAGCCCAGACCTCAATCCAATGGAGAATCTGTGGTGTGACTTAAAGATTGCTGTACACCAGCGGAACCCATCCAACTTGAAGGAGCTAGAGCAGTTTTGCCTTGAAGAATGGGCAAAGATCCCAGTGGCTAGATGTGCCAAGCTAATAGAGACATATCCCAAGAGACTTACAGCTGTAATTGCTGCAAAAGGTGGTTCTACAAAGTATTGACTTTGGGGGGGTGATTAGTTATGCACACTGTTTTTTTGTTTTATTTCTTGTTTGTTTCACAACAAAATATATTTTGCATCTTCAAAGTGGTAGGCATGCTGTATAAATCCAATGATATCAACCCCCAAAAAATCCATTTTAATTCCACCCCCAAGGGGGGTGAATACTTTCGCAAGCCACTGTACACTACACTAGTGGATGTGGCTATTTCAGCCACACCCGTTGCTGACAGGTGTATAAATTGAGCACACAGCCATGCAATCTCCATGGACAAACATTGGCAGTAGAATGGCCCATACTGAAGAGCTCAGTGTCTTTCAATGTGCCACCTTTCCAACAAGTCAGCTTGTCAGCTTTCTGCACTGCTAGAGCTGCCCCGAATCAGCCGCAAAGTGGTAGGCCACATAAGCTCACAGAATGGGACCACTGAGTGCTGAAGCGCGTAGCGCATAAAAATCCTCTGTCCTCGGTTGCAACACTCACTACCGAGTTCCAAACTCTGGAAGCAACGTCAGCATAAGAACTGTTAGTCGGGAGCTTTATGAAATGGGTTTCCATGGCCGAGCAGCCGCACACAAGCCTAAGATCACCATGCGCAATGCCAAGCATCGGCTGGAGTGGTGTAAAGCTCGCCGCCATTGGATCTGGAGCAGTCGAAACGCTTTCTCTGGAGTAATGAGTCTGGGTTTAGAGGATGCCAGGAGAACGCTACCTGCCCGAATGCATAGTGCCAACTGTAAAGTTTGGTGGAGGAGGAGTAATGGTCTGGGGCTGTTTTTCATGGTTCGTGCTAGGCCCCTTAGTTCCAATGAAGGGAAATCTTAACACTACAGCATACAATGACATTCTAGACAATTCTATGCTTCCAACCTTTGCGGAAGGCCCTTTGCTGTTTCAGCATGACAATGCCCCATGCATAAAGTGAGGTTCATACAGAAATGGTTTATTGAGATCGGTGTGGAAGAATTTGACTGACCTGCACAGAGCCCTGACCTCAACCCCATCAAAACACCTTTTGGGATGAATTGGAACCCGATGCGGGGGCCCAAACCCCAAAACAGTGCCCAAACCCACTAATCGTTGTGGCTAATGGGAAGC